TAAATGTAGAGACTGTGTCTGCCTCCCTCACTGAGAGTGGGAGCTGGTTCCAAAGGAGAGGAGCTTGGTAACTGAAAGTTCTACCACCCATTCTACTCTTAGTAACTCTAGGCACTACAAGGAGTCCCGAGTTTAGGGAGCAAAGTGGTCTGTGGGGGCAGTAAGGGGTTAAGAGCTCTTTAATATATGATGGGGCCTGATTGTTGAGGGCCTTATAAGTCAGAAGGAGGATTTTTAACTCTATCCTCTGTTTAACAGGGAGCCAGTGAAGTGAAGCTAGGACAGGAGTAATGTGATGCCGTCTTCTGGTTCCTGTCAGTACTCGTGTAGCAACATTCTGCACCAGCTGAAGGGTTTTTTAACGATTTGCTGGGACACCCTGATAATAGGGAGTTACAGTAGTCTAGCCTAGACGTAATAAAGGCATGAATCAGTTTTTCAGAATCCTGTTTTGACAGGATGTGTTTGATTCTCTTTATATTACGCAGATGAAAGAAAGCTATTCTGGAGGTTTGACTTATGTAAGTGACATATCTTCATCAATGATAACTCCTAGGTTCTTCACAGTGGAGTTTGGAACCATCTAGGTTAACCGACTGGTTAGACAGAGTTTCTCTGAGATGCCTAGGACCCAGGATTATGACCTCAGTTTTGTCTGTGTTTAACAATAAGAAATTCTGGGTCATCCAGGCCTTGATGTCTTTAAGACAGTTTTGAAGTTGAATTAAATGGTTCAGTTCGTCTGGCTTCATAGATAAATATAACTGGGTGTCATCTGCATAGCAGTGAAAAACAATGTTATGGTTTCTAATAATATTGCCCAAAGAGTATTGGGCCAAGAACCAAACCTTGTGGGAATCCATGATTAACTTTAGTATATGATGAGTATTCATCATTAACACTAACAAGGTGGAATCTATTTGATAAATAAGAACTAAACCAGCTTAATGCTGTCCCTCCAATCCCAACCTCCTGCTCTAATCTTTGAAGGAGAATGTTATGGTCAATGGTGTTGAATGCAGCACTGAGATCTAACATGACCAGCATGGAGACAAGACCCTGGTCAGAGGCTAGGAGAATATCATTTCAGACTTTTAAAAGTGCTGACTCTGTACTATGGTGCATTCTAAATTCAGACTGATAGGCCTCCTGCAGGTCATTTCTCTGGAGGTGATCGAGCAGCTGATTCTAAAAGTTTAGAAGTAAATGGGAGGTTTGATATAGGTCTGTAATTTGCTAAGATACCTGCATCTAAGCTAGGCTTCTTTAGCAGGGGCTTAATTACTGCTAGTTTAAAAGCCTGTGGTACATAGCCAGTTAATAAAGAGCTTTTTATAAGATTCAATACAGTGCCGCAGACTTCTAAGAATGCCTCTTTAAAGAGCTGAGTAGGGATGGGGTCCAGCAAGCAGGTTGAAGTTTTAGAGGATGAGACTAAAGAAGATAACTGTGAAAACGTGTGTTTATTTATTTTGCATTTACTTTCCCTACTGTAAAGGATAATTTTAACCAAAAAGTAACTGAAAATTTCTCTGAAAAGAGAACTTGTCCCTCACAGATTTAAATGTCTGTGTGTTTGTGTCTGTCTGTCTGTCTACAGCATGTGGTGGTTTTTTCAACAGCACTATGGGAACAGTGAGCAGTCCAGCACTCTCCATGACCAATTACCACCACAACATCAACTGTACCTACCATATAATGGTCCCGACAGACAGAGTGGTTGATCTCAAGTAAGACTATAGCGACTATACTAAAGTCACATCACAATCACTACTGTGCAGACCGTGGCTCACCAATGGCAGTGACCTTAACCAGGATATTATGGCATCTTTTTTGTAAAGTGGAATGATCTAGGGATGTGTCGTCCATCTTTTCCTCCATCCATTGAGAAACACCCTACATATCAATGGCAAAGAGATGGAGGTTTAACATTTTGTGTCACACAGTAATATGTGATATAAGTAATATAAGTCTGATCTTAGAGGCCAAGACAAACTCTACAGTCAACACTGATATTGATCAATCTATGAGCCGTGTTAAAAGAGAGGAAAAGGGCAGACAGAGACAGAGGGGACAAAGAACTGAGAGAAGTGGCCACAGTAAAAACTAGTAGTTGTACGAGGGTCAGTTTAGTAATGTTTAAATATTTTTCTGGACTCTGAATCTGGATTTTGGAGCTTTTAATAACCTTAAGTAGCTCTAAAGCTTTAGGCAGTGTTTCCTCTCAGTGATTCATGCTTTCCTTCCTCTCTCTCCATAGGTTTAACACCTTCCATCTGGAGGCTTCTTCTTCCTGTCGCTATGACTATGTGGCAGTTTTTGATGGACAGGACACCTTGTCGCCCTTGCTGGGGAAATTCTGTGGTGCAGTGCTCCCACCCAATCTGCGATCCTCTACCAACCAGCTATTTATTGTCTTCAGGACAGATGCCTCAGTGAATGGGATTGGCTGGAGAGCCACCTACAGTGAGACACTTGGTAGGAGAATGTTTTGTATTTGCGATGCCATTTGAGAATGGATTTTTTTTCTATTTTTTTGGCAGCTTTTCTTGCAATAAACTAAAAACTATGGAAATGTATGTTGAAATTGTGGTATTTAGATTTTGTCTTGTGTGGTAATATGCATTTTCATGAAAATTATTTGAGCCTCTCAGACAGTTCTACAGTACAGCAATGTTGTTTTGCTATAGCAAATATTAAGATTGAAGTTAAGTGTTCGTTACTCAATTGCCTGCAGGTCCAGCACAGGGATGTGGTGGCTACCTGTCCATGCCACTGGGCATGTTTGGTTCTCCAGATCCAAACCTGGATGGACGCTATGAGCCCAAGATGGACTGCCTGTGGACCATTGAGATGCCAGTCAACAGGGCTATCAACCTGACCTTCAACTCTTTCCAGCTGGAGAGCTCCTCTTCTTGCCGTTATGATTACGTCAAAGTGAGTAACTCTCAGCCATTGTGATATTATTACATCGGAACATAATTAAAATGAGTATTGGCAACACACCAACATATACAATGCTATGTTATTAACTGTTACTCTCATTAACATTTGTTTATCTCTACCAGGTGTATGATGGTGACAATATTAATTTCCCTCTGGTTGGGACATTTTGCGGAAACTCCATTCCCGCCTTTTTTATGTCAAGTGCAAACTTCCTGACCATTCATTTTGTCACTGATAGCTCAGTGCAGCTACGAGGCTTCAATGCTACCTACAGAGCTGTTCCATGTAAGATACTTGTTCTTATCTCCATCATCTGTAAACTGAAGGTATACGCCTGTTGTCAGGTGGAATTGTTCTCCCCTTCCATTTCCTGCCTGTTCAAATCCACTTTGCTATGGGAAACAAGAGCAACCATCAAGCTGCAACCTACATGTTGAAAATGTCAGGTTTTGACACAGATTTGTATCATGCAGTCACACAGTTGACAGACTGAACTGTGCAATAGCTGTGAGATCTGAATTTTTTGTCTAATTTTTCTTTAGGAATTCATAATTTTAATGACAGTAATAGCCTAATAGATGATGAGGAAGACCAACTGCAAACACAAATAGTTTCATCCTGTTATTGGTGATTCTTATATTGCTTTTCATCCCTTATGCTCATTTGAACAATGTTAAAGGATCCTGCAGAGGTGCTGATAACAGGGCCAAAAGACCGTTTAATTTTATACATCAAAATTAATCTTTCAGAAGATGCTTTTATCCAAAGGGATTTACAACTGATGATTTATAACACCAAAGGTGCAGTACAGTAGGAAAGTTTGAAGTAAGTACTCATGTTGCAAAATGAATGGCAGTTAGCACTGTTCATATTTTTGGTGAACTGAACGAATCAGTTTTTAGTTAGTAGTATTACTAGTAGTATTTATACAAGTATTTATACATGAGAAATGTCTGATAGAGATGAAGCGAGCAGCAATGGCAAATGACTTGAGGAGTTATTGTCAGTAATGGTAGAACATGTGAGTATCTTTGCTCATTTCAGATTGACACAGTTGTGAATATCCCATCTGGCATACTGCAATCTTGAGGCAGTGGAAAAAAATTCTGCTTTTGACTAACTGAAACCTGGTCAAAATTCAGTGATGCAGTATTAACATCTATAGATTTATATACCACACTGTTTAACAAACCTCTCAATGTGTCTGCATTGGACCAGTGCTCTGTGGTGGGACTCTGAATGCATCAACTACCATGGAGACCCTGACCTCACCCTCCTTCCCCAATGCCTATCCTCCTTACACCTCCTGCCGCTGGATACTGGATGCTCCCGCCCAGGAAACCATCCAGCTGTCATTCCAGAACCTTGCATTCCAACCCAGCCAGAGCTGCTCCACAAATTTCCTGGATATGAAGGACTGGCCTATGGTGAGTTAAGACAGGGACTGAACCAGAAAGTGTTGGATCAAAAGAACAGCAGTTTTGTAATTTGGTCAATAACCTTTGAAAAACACTGACTGAAAATCTCTGCTCTCTTTTTTCCAACTGTTGAAAATATTCAAATGAGCATGATATACAGTACAATTATATATCGGTTTCTCAAGATATTACACAGCACCACATGTCCCAATGTAACCCCTAGATCAACTACACCGTGTATCAAATATTATGAGTCTCAGAAATTATTAAATATAATTGTAGATCTGAGTTGCAAAACAACACAACACACAATTTGCCAATCCTGTAGCAAGCTGCAGAGCAAAGCTACACTGTAAAGAATTTCACTGTGAAATAACAGTAAAATACTGGCAGCAGGGACGCCAGTATTTTACTGTTATTTTACAGTGCAATTACTGTTATTTATTTAAACAGTATATTACCGTATTTTGGATTACAGTATATGACCGTAGAATAACGGTGGGTGTTTAAAATTACATTTTAACAGCACATCTACCGTAATTAATTTAACAGTATATTACCGTTTTTTGGATTACAGTACATGATGGTAGGATAACTGTGTTTTAGTAATTTTACAGCGCATATAGTGTCATTTATTTAACAGTATATTTCCGTATTTTGGATTACAGTTCATGACAGTAGGAGAACTGTGGGTTATGGTAATTGTAATTCCCTCGAGGCACGGACAACACAAGTGGCTTTCTTGGTACTGATTTATTTGAAGCTTCCTCCAAATCCACCGTGAAAACTATAACATACATATATACAAAGTGTTAGCGATAGCATTACAACATCAAAATGAAACACGTGCAAAGTAAAATAAAGACAAACACATTAATTACCTCGTTACCTCGTTAAATTGGTTCTTAATTTTACTGTATTAGCTAAAGCACTTCTTCACCTTCGTAGGTTTACTTCTCACTCTCCGGAGCAGCGCAGCGAACACAGCATGTCAAAATAAAAGTCATACTTTCAAAATATAGGTTGACAGCCCTCTCAAACAACAAAAACACCTGAAACGTGTACCAATTGACAATAATTACATAATCAATGATAAATTATGAACATCAGCTACAGTAATTTTACAGTAGATGCCAGTGTGTTATAAAATCTGCTATTTTTGCACATTATAAATCCTCACCCATTTAAAACCAAAGTATGCAGGGCRTTTRAAATACCCAGCCCTAGGRTACCACATTCATCCCGACAGCCAGTCAACATCCAGAAGTCCTACAATAAACACAAAGCTTGACTTTCCTTGTATTTTAATAATGTCTAGCCTTCTAGTGCTTAGAGCGGATCAGAAACACATTCAGCAACAACATGCATTCATCACTGTTCATCTGTCTGTGCTCAAATGAAGAAAAGTAGCAGGTTAAGCTAGCGGAGGATACATAGGAGGAGAGTAGCAAAGAGTGGACAGTACAAGGAGTGCTTACTCTTTCCGTTTTCAAGAACCTGAACTCACAGAGCAGAGCACTAACTTTAACACCGTTTCCCAGAACCGATAGTACAGAGCTCTCACTTTAATCTTATTCAGCTGATATTTAATTTCACTTAATAACTTCTACCTGAGCTGTGTCTGCCTCAGTTTCTATCAAACATAGGGTTTCTATGCATGCTGGCTCAATGAAGAGACATAATCATAACTGAAGTGATTACATTTTGTTGTTTTTGCCAATCATTCCTAACCTCTGACCTTGWATAAAATCAGATGCAGACCTTTAAGTAATAAGTTTGAGAACCCTGGTATAGAACACAAGAYAATATACATTCCATAACATTGCTGTAGTTTATTACAAAGTGCTCATTTGTACAGCAGACTTTGTAGTAACATTGAGAACATTTGTATTACAATAATGACAAGGTATTGCATTACCATATTTGGAAGAAACTGTCTCCAATTCAATCATTAATGACAGACTTTACTGAACTCAAGAGCATAACCTCAGACGCTGAATTAAAGTACCATCTAGAACAGTGTAACAGTGCATTAAAGTACCACCTAAAACAGTGTAACTGAACAGTCTAGCTTGAAAACATGTCTTTTGCATGTGAACTATGAACTATGAACAGTGGGAGTGGAGAAAGAAAAGGGGGAGAATAAAAGAGTGAGTACTTGACAGCAGCGTTTGGCTGGTCTTCTCAGTCACCAATGACAAGTGCCTGTAAGAAAAAAAATAAAAATAAAATTAGCAACACAATGGTTAAAGACCAGATAGAGAGAGAGAGAGGCAAGATATCAGACATCTGACATCTTTGTCATATATATATTGCTTTAGTTAAATGTCTGTCTTTGAAAACAAAAATGTGTTTTCAGCTTTAGTGTGATAAAAGAATAACTTCTGGCATTTAAGAAAAGCAAAGTAGACTACTGTATGTTCGCATAACACAGCAATACTTGGCTAATATGACAATATCATGCAGTTTAAATGTGCAGACTTGCCTATATGATGAAARGATTAAGCAAAGTTAAGGAAGCTGATTTTTTTCCTTCTTCAATTTCACTGATTGAGAAAGACAGACATTACTACAATGGAGTACATAATAAAACGTGTCTGATGTTTTGAATGTTGCTCCTGGCAGGAACACACTGACACACCTTACTTCTCCACTTGGTGAGAGACTGTAGGTCCTAACTCACT